AGATGAACACAATACCTGTATGTTATTTATTTTTAAGTGGTGCTGAGGTTCAAACCCAGTGCTTCACTCGTGCTAGGCAAGCACTCTACCACTAAGCCACAACCCCAGCCCAGGGAAATCTACATTTTTAACAATCACTCCAGGTCTTTGGTTCTCAAATATGGCAATTTTACCCCCAGGGACACTTGTCAGTGTCTGGAGTCATGTTTGGTTGTTACAACTGGGAAGAGAAGTATCAATTGCATCTACTGAGTAGAAGTCAAGAATGCTGCTACACACCCTACAATGTCACCCACAACAAAGAATTGCCCTGCCCAATATGTCAATAGTGACAAGGTTGAAAAATTCTGCTCGATGTAATTGTGATACCCACTATACATCAAGAAATATTCATTTAAACTGGGTGTGGTGGTACATCCCTGTAATCCCAGCAGCTCAAGAGGCCAACATAGGACGATCACGAGTTCAAAGCCAGCAACCTAGAGAGGCCCTAAACAACTCAGTGAGACCCTGTCTCTATAAATAAAATATAAAAAGGCTAAGCACCCCTAAATTCAATCCCCAGTACCAAAAAAAAAGTAAAGGAAATTATTATCTGGACAGAAGAGGATATTGAGAAGATGGATAAAACTTAGGCATTCTTTAGAAAAAACACTGGAGTGACCCTCACCTTCCCACATCTTATTTTTCTCACTTATCCTAACCAATGGGTTCCTTTTGACATCTAAGGTCCAGTTTGCCCATCTGTAAAATAATCAGATGAAATATGTACTACTACCCTGATTTTATGAAGATTTTATTTTGCCTAAAGTAACACAGCTAGGAATAAGTAAAGTCACTAAATCTTTCTCTCTGGTAGCCCTTCTCCCTGTGAGAATGTACTGTAAGTAAAAAAAAAAAAAAAAAAAAGTCCTATTCACTTATTCACTAATAGAATATTAAAAACCAGATTCAGGAGCCAGGCATGGCATGTTTGCCTGTAATCGAAGAGGCTCAGGAGATTGAGACAGGAGGATCAAGAGTTCAAGGCAAGCCTCAGCAAAAGCAAGGCACTAAGCAACTCAGTAAGACCCTGATAAAATACAAAGTACGGCTGGGGATGTGGCTCAGTAGACGAGTGCCCATGAGTTCAATCCCTGATAACCAACACACACACAAAAGATTCAGTTAAAGTTACAATTCTAGGCTGAGGCTGTGGCTCAGTGATAGAGTGCTTGCCTAGCATGTGTGAGGCACCGGGTTCGATCCTCAGCACCACATATAAAAAAATGAATAAAATAAAGGTCCATACATATGAAAAATATTTTTTTTAAAAAGTTACAATTCTATGGAAATTCCAAACTTGTCCACACTATCAATATTCCCACTTCATCCAAGAAAAGTCAATAGACTCAGGATATCACCCCGACAAGAATTATCACTATTTTCTAGATGCTAAGCCAGAACCAAACTGATTAAATAAGCCACCTGAGTCACTATTAGGCAAGGTCCTATCTTGTATGTGCTATGGACAGTGTTCACCTCAGAGTGGTATTTAGCCTATACTTAAAAGTGGAAGTAGCCAGGTGTGGTGGTGCACATCTGTAATCCCAGCTATCTGGGAAGCTAAGGCAAGAGGATCACAACTTCAAAGCCAGCCTCAACAACTTACCAAGGCCCTAAGCAACTTAGTAAGACCCTGTCTCAAAGCAAAAAATAAAAAAGGCTGAGATGGGGGGTCTAGGATTGCAGCTCAGTGGTACAGCACTTGCCTAGTATGTGTGAGGCACTGTCGATCCCTGACAAAAAAGTTTAATAACTTTTATCAAGACCTTTTAACATAAAAAATAAATAAGGGGCCGGGGTTGTGGCTCAGTGGGAGAGCACTTGCCTAGCATGCGTGAGGCACTGGGTTCAATCCCTGGCACCACATAAATTAAAAAAAAAAAATTAATAAAGGTAATGTGTCCATCTATAACTAACAAATATATAAATAAATAAAGGTATTTTTAAAAAAGGCTGGGATGGGGTTCAGCAGTTAAGCACCTCTGGATTCAATATCCCTGGTACCAAAAAAAAAAAGAAAGAAAGAAAAAAATATCACATTTTTTCTGGCATCTCCCAGAATGAGAATTCATCACAAGATCCTCTTCTCAATGAGCAGGAACCTCTTAAAAATTAATACTATTTCCCACTCAAGCTCCAAACTTCCCCAAGCAGTACAACATCCCCCCCCCCCATCTTTTCATTTTCCTTCCTGGTGAACCATACAAGCCCCATGAATACCACCCAAAGTATAAAATGAAATTATAGGATACAAGACTGGGGGCATAAATCAGTGGTTCAGTGCTTACCTAGCAAGAGTGAGGCATTGGGTTTGACAAGAAGCACCACAAGAAGAGGGGGTGGGGGCAGAGTAGAGAAAGAGAAAAAAAAAAAAAAAAGACAGATTACCATATCTTAAAGGAAGTCCAAAAGGTAATTGCAATCTTATAAAATCAACTGACTTCCTGCTAGTTTAATAACTTTTATCAAGACCTTATAATATTAAAAAACAAGCACAGGGCTGGGGCTGGGGCTCAACTGTAGCCCACTTGCCTGACATGTGTGAGGCACTGGGTTCGATTCTCAACACCACATATTAATAAATAAAATAAAGGTCTATCAACAACTAAAAAAACATGAAGCACAGTATAAGCCAAAAAGGGACCAAAAAATTACTAAGTTATGGTTCCTGTCTTAAGCAGCTCACCATTAAATGAAAGAAGTGCACATCCTGACAATTCCAAATAAACATTTAAACAAAATAAACATTTTCCCCAAAGATTTTTCTCATATATGCCCTCACTTATTGAGAACTATTGCCAAGCTATGAAGCTTACTAGGCCTCCTTACTTCCAGCTGCCTACAAACATCACCATCTACACATCCCACAGGTAACTTTACCTCAGCATATCAGACTGTCTTTTCCCTAACCTCTTTTTTTTGTTTTGTTTTTTGGTAGTACTGGCATCTCCCAGAATAAGAATTCATCACAAGATTCTCTTCTCAATGAGCAGGGACCTCTTTTTTTTTTTTTTTAACCATACTATTTATTGTTATTTATTAGTCATACATGACAGCAGAATGTATTTTGACATATAATACATACATGGAAGGTACATACATCAATCATATTGTCTATTCTATTCTGCTGCCTAGCAGGAACCTCTTAAAAATTAATACTATTTCCCACTCAAGCTCCAAACTTCCCCAAGCAGTACAACACCCCCCCCATCTTCTCACTGTACCCAAGGATACTCTACCACTGAGCCACATCCCCAGCCCTAAGTTGCCCTAAGTTGCCCAAGTTGCCCTAAGTTGCTGAGGCTGACCTCAAACTTGCAACCATGTCTTTGTATATGCTGTTTTCTGTAACTGGAATATTTTTTCTTTCTTGTGCAAGCTCCTATTCATCCTTCAAAGCCCACCTCAAGTGTCTTTTCCCTACAAAGATCTCCCTACCCCTAGGTGATAACAATATTCCTTTTTTTTTTTTTTTGTACAAATGTCTTTATACGGATATACAACATAGAGTAGTACAAAATTTCATCAAAATATGTGTTGGATGTCCTTGAGGAAAGATATTATTTCTAACCCAGTACCAGTTATATAGTAAGTGCTAAATAAATATGAGTAAACAGTTCACCTTCATATATCCTAGATCAATTTAGTTGGCAATTTTCTCCAAATCTTATGAATTCCTAAATTATGCTGTATGTGAAATTCCAAATTTCATAACAACTGCTTTGGGGTTTTCAAGTTTGTTTAATTATATAAAGGTTGAATGAGTAAATTATGACTGAAAATCTATTGAAAACACATTAAAGACTTCTTTATTCATTAAGGAAAGAATGAAAATTCCCTTTATAATTCTAAAGAGGAATCTATCTTTCCCTAGACTCTGCCTGATACCCTGAAAGCCTTCACATAGAAGTTAGTAAGCAGTATTACTATGAAGTCCGACAGAAGACATACCCAAAATAATTCCAAGCAATCCTAAATTAAAGGGACACAAATCATCTTTATCTTGATGTACCAAACAAACAAACAAAAACTTTTAAGTTCAAATTTTTCTGGAAAAGAAGAACCGGGGACGATTTGATGATCCAGAAACATTTATTCAGGCCTGGGCCAAATTTCTACTGTCCCGATCGCCAGGTGCAGCACTCCTCAATTTCTGATAGCTCTCCTTCCCCCAGGGAACCTGTTCTCTCATTTCTTTCCCCACTGCCTTTGAAAAGGTTAGTTTACACCGAGTAACCCGAGTAACTTTCTATGTAAAAGGTGAGCTTAAGGCAGTCGGTGGGAAGACGGGCGCTGTGCTGTACACCTGTAATCCCAGCCACTTGGAGACTGACGCTGGAGGATTGAGAGTTCAAGGCCGGTCTCGGCAATTTAGAGATCCTCTCTCAAATTTTCAAAAAAGGATCAGGGATATAGCTCAGTGGTAAAGGAAATCAGTCGGTCGGAGACTCAAGAGGTTAGATAGTGTCTCTTCCGGGGCACCTGAAGACTTCGGACAGACTCGCCTTCCTCTATTCCTTCTCAGAGGTCTAGCCCCTGACCCTCACCACACAGCCACACACAAGCTGGGAGGACAGGCTTTCCAGGCAGGGGTCGAGGTCTGCCCCGCGCAAGGGTCAAAGGTCAGGGCCTCTGCTGCCCAGTGGCCCCTGCTGCCCAGTGGCCCCTGCAAGGGCGGGACAGGGAAAGAACTAGGCCAGAACCGGGTGGTCAGAAGAACGAGCCGCTGGAAAAGAGAAGCTGCGTCTCGCTTGCTCAGCCACCCCCCGGGCCAGCCCTCCCCGCGGCACGCAGCCTCAGCTGCGGTCCTCCCTCCTCTCCCCCCCGTCACCCCCTTCGTCCCCGCAGCAAGCGCAGGCCCCGCCCCCAGAGCCGCCTCTGGGCCGAGGCCTACTGTGGCAGGACCCGCGGGGGTTGGCCAGATTCGAGGACCCGACCAGGCCGGCGCTGCTTACCGAGCCCCCGGCTCCTCCTCCACCACCCGCGCCGCTCCCGGGCCCGCTCGCTCCCGACACCACCGACGCCGCCGCTGCTCCGAGCCACGGGCGCGCTCCCGACCTCCCCGACCCCAGTGCCCTGCGGGGTCCTAAAGCCCTCTTTGCGATAGGTTCTTCCACGCCCGCTTCCTGAAGCTGACCTCAGACCACAATTCCCAGCAAACATTGCAAAGACTACAACTCCCGAAAAGCATCGCGAGAAAGAAATTAGCAAACATCCATAGAAGGGCTCCTGGTTTACCAATTGCAGTAGTGGTTTTTTGAAACATGGCCGACTTTGAATTCAGCAGTTCCTTCTAGGAATAAATATATTTAGAAACACTGGCAAGGTTTGAAAAGATGTATGTTTCAAGATATTTATTGTAGCTTTGTAAGTGAAACATTAGAAACACATTCATTCAACAAATAAATAGATTTGTTGCCAGAGGAGGTGGCACAGCCTGTAAGCCCAGCTACATAGGAGGCTGAAGCAGGAAGATCACTAAGCAGTAACTTAGGGAGACCCTATCTCAAAATAATCATCATAAAATAAATTTGAGTAAATTGTCGTTTAAAGTTGTGCTTTTTTTTCCAGTACTAGTGGGATCGAATGAATCCAAGGGTCTTTTACCACTGAACCACAACCCCATCCCCTTTTATCTTTTTTTTTTTTCCATTTTGAGACAGTCTTCATTAAATTACTGAGGCTGATCTCGAACTTGTAATCCTGCCTCAGTCGCCCAGATTATAGGCCTGCACCACTGTGCTCCACCTCAAGTAAACTCTGTGATCTTCAGATTTCTCATATGCAGATAAAAGATTAAAAGATGCACTTGTAGGGCTGGGGATATAAAAGTGCTTGCCTTGTATGCACAAAGCCCCTGAGTTCAATCCCCAGCACCACAAAAAAAAAAAAAAAAAAAAAGCATGGTGTGGGGGGGTTCCGGTTCTGAGTGATTAGTTTGTTTAGAATTAGTAAGAGGAGAATAATTTGAACCCAGGTCCATCAGGAAAGAACTGGGGGCAGAAATATGCTGGGTATGGAACCAGGAAAGAAGTGAGGGGCTAAACTCTAATAGAATATAAATAAGAATGAAGAGGGAGCCGGGCAGTAGCAGAAGCCTGTAATGCTAGCAGGGTTGGGAGGCTGAGGCAGGAAGATATGAAGACAGCCTCAGCAAAAGGGAGGCACCAAGCAACTAAGGGAGACCCTGTCCACAAAATAGGGCTGGAGATGTGGCTCAGTAGTCGAGTACCCCTGAGTTCAATCCTCAGTACCAAAAAAATAAAAGAGTGATGAAGTTGGTAAAAGGAGGATTTGTCATAAAGCAAATCCTAATAGTTCTGGAACACCAGTTAGAAACCCTCTTTCCAGCCTGACCCAGTGGCAAATGCCTATAATCCTAGCAATTTAGAAGGATGAGGCAGGAGGATGGCAAGTTTGAGGCCAATCTGGAAAACTAACTAGACCCTGTCTCAAAATAAAAATCAGAGCTTTGTAATGTTGTGAACAACCAATAAGTTTTTTTTTAAAAATTTAAAAATAAAAAATAAATAAAAATCAGGGGCTGGGGTTGTGGCTCAGTGGTAGAGTGCTTGCCTAGCATATGTGAGGCCCTGGGTTTGATCCACATAAAAATAAATAAATAAGGGCTAGGGATGTAGCTCAAGCAGTAGCGCACTCGCCTGGCATGCGTGCGGCCCGGGTTTGATCCTCAGCACCACATACAAAGATGTTGTGTCCGCCGAAAACTAAAAAAATAAATATAAAATTCTCTCTCTCTCTCTCTCTCTCTCTCTCTCTCTCTCTCTCTCTCTCTCTCTCTCTCAAAAAAAATAAAAAATAAATAAAATAAAATTATATTGTAACAAAGTGGTAGATACACACTCTCTCTCTCACACACACACACACACATCCATATATACTATATATATATATATATATATATATATATAGTTTTGTGTGTGTGTATGTGAGGGGAGGTGGGTACTGGGGATTGAACCCAGGGGCACTTTACCACTTAGCCACATTCCCTGCCCCTTCTATTTTTCATTTTGAGACAGGGTCTCCCTAAGATGCTGAAACTGGCCTCAAACTTGTGATCTTCCTGACTCAGCCTGCCTTCACTGGGTTACAGGTACGGGCTGCCACACCAGGTTACTCTTAAATGTTTTAAATAGCAGAGAGTGAATTATCAAGGGCAAACTTACAAAGGGCTCAAATTGTAAATGCCCTGAAAATTTACAGAAGGGAAAATTTTATGTCAACTTCCAAAGACTTCCTGGAGAAGGTGAAGATGAAGTGAGGTGGAAGAGGAGAGAAGAAAAGAAAGGGAGAAGGTATGAGTGTGAAGCAACATAATACACTGCCCACACTTATGTCAGGAAGTAAATTCAATACATATTCACACTAGGGTAAATTTAGGAGATCATATACTAAGTTTAGCACACAACCTCTGGAACATTGTAGAAATGGATCCTAGGTCAGCTACCTTCTAACCGTATGACTTTGTACAATTACTTAAGCTCCCTGTGCCTAGTGTCCTCATTTGAAAAATGAGAATAATAAGGCCTGTGTCATATTGGTTTGGTTATCTGGCAGAGCTCTTCCCTTCTTATTCTGCAGAATTCTTTGGACTCTTAGGCTAGACTAAATGGAAAAACATACCCTGAACAGTCGGAGTTAAGTGAAGGCACGTTATCTGATTTTGGCCAATAGCTATAGCCTCCAGGAACTTTGGCTTTTGATCAAGAAATGCAGAGATGAAAGGATGATCAGAATTTATTCATAACAGGTTCTATCCTCTAGTGCAGCATGTAAGTCATGTAGCACCAAGGACCACATTACCCTGATTAGATGGTCCCCACTGAAAAAAATCATGCTTCCTATTTCTTGATCTTCAGTAAGTGTCTTAATTACTGTTCATTGTTCAATCCTGTTCTTCCTTTCTTCAGCAGATGCTGTAAGTTCCTTATGTTCTTCTAATTAATAGCACTTTAACTTAAAATAGCCATGAGCTATTTCTGTAGCTTTTAACCAAAAGATTCCCAAATGATATCACACACACAAACATGTGCCCACACAAGCTTACTCATTCCTTCAGCAAACATCAATTGAGGTTTTTCTGCCAGACTCTACTCTAAAAATGAAGATAGGGTACAAAATGAAATAAATCCTATGGCAACTAGAAGCAACTGGAGGAGGAGTAATTTGGGACAGGAAGATGATGTTTAGGATCTATGTTGAGATTAAAGTGTGAGACATCCAAGAAGAAATATTTAGTAGACGTTTAGATACCCTTTATTGGAACTCAACAGATATCTGTGCTATAGATAAATATTTTGGAGTCGTTGGCTTCCATGGAATGGATCAAGCCATAAGGAAGGAAAGAGGATAGAGAGACAGATCAAAATGTTATTGGGGAATGGAAGGAGGAGTGCTAACATTTAATGTGGTGGCACACACCTGTAATCGCAATAACTCAGGAGGCTGAGGCAGGAGGATAAAGGATTCAAAACCAGCCTCAGCAAAAGTGAGGTGTTAAGCAACACAGTGAGACCCTGTCTCTAAATAAAATACAAAGTAGGGCTGGGGACGTGGTTCAGTGGTCAAGTACCCCTGAATTCAATCCCTGGTACAAAAAAAAAAAAAAAAAGATAGCGCAATATAAAAAAAAAAGGAAGAAACCCAGAGGTAAAAGATGTGCAGTGGAACCCACAGGAGAAACTTTCAATAAGGAGGTTGTCAAGCAGGGCACACTGGCACAAGCCTGTAGACCCAGCAACTGGGAAGGCTGAGACAGGAGGATTGTAAGTCCTAGGCCAGCCTGGGCAAGACTTTATCTCAAAAGGTGGGTTTGGGAATGTAACTCAGTAGAGTGTTCCTGGGTTCAATCCCCAATACTGAAAAAAATATATAAGAATTTAAAAATCTAAATTTGTAGGTGTTGCTGAAGAGATGACAAAAAGACTCTGCCTCTAAACATGTTGTTGTTGTTGTTTTCTTAGCAAACTCCTGGTTTGGGGTGATAGAGTAAAATGGCTTGGCACACTGACTCTGGAGCCAGAATGCCTGTGGTTGAAATCCCACCTCCACTGCTTAATACCTGTGTAATTTTTTTTGGGGGGGTGGGTAGCTAGGGATTGAACCCAGGGCCTTCTGCATATGAAACAAGCACTCTACCAACTAAACTATATCCCCAGCCTAATACCTATATAATCTTAATCAAAGTTACTTAACCTCTGTGCTTCATTTTCCTTATCTGCAAAAACGAGGGATGGGAGCAGGTCTGTCCCATGATGTCTACTATGGAAACATTAACTATTATTATTTTCCACTAGATTATCAATCTCCATGAGGTTGAAGTTTTTTGTTTGGTACCAGGGATTGAACCCAGGGGCACTTAGAGATTTAGCCATATCCCCAGCCCTTTTTATTTTTCATTTTGAGACAGGCTCTCACTAAGTTGCTTAGGGCCTCACTAAATTGCTCAGACTGGCTTTGAACTTGTGATCCTCCTGCCTTAGCCTCCTGAGCCGCTGAGGATTACAGGTGAGGTTGAAGTTTTTCTATTTTGTTCAGGGTCTACTACTCAAAGCCTGCCATAAATTAGGTGCTCAATAAAACTTTCAAAAATAAATGAGTAGTTGGGGATGTAGCTCAGTGATATAGTGTGCTTGCCCAGATTCTGTGAGGCTGTGGGCTCAATGCCTAGTACCGGGAGGGAAGAAAGAGAGAGAGAGAGAGAGAGAGAGAGAGAGAGAGAGAGAGAGGGAGAGAGAGAGAGAATGAGAATATGAATGAATATAAATGAGTAAACTGGACTCAAAGAATGAAGCTTAGAAAAGAAAAGCCTTAGGAGATGGACGATTTCAGGGGCTCAGTGGAGCCCAAATCAGGACTAGACTGAGCTACACGGCGGCTAGGGGAAGCTGGCCTGAGAAGTCAGAGGTTGAAACCTTTGGGAGCTGCGGAGGCTCCTCCCCCTGCGGGCGGGTCGCGCCAGCCGGGCGTGCACTAGAGCAAAGCCGAAGCTCCCCTAGCGGGGCGGGGTGGAGTCTACACTCAGGCCTGTCCTCGGCCCACCTCATCCACGCGGGACGGAAGTCTCAGTGCGGCTCTCGACTTCCCGGAGGACCGCGCACCGAGAGCCGGGCCTCGCTCCACC